CTACTAAAATCCCGATAGGAAGTATAATTGCCGTCAGGAAGAATCCTGCCCCCTCCCTGGCAAATGTTTAACCGAAAGCGTTGTATACCAAGCCACAGTAACGAGAGAAGACAACCAACAGGAAGAAACCTGCGTTGGACACACAGCGGGCCCATTTAAAGTGAGATACTACAACCATACAAGCTCGTTCAGGAACCCGGATCATAAACATTCAACTGAACTGAGTAAATATATTTGGCAGTTGAAACAGTCCAACATATAGAATACTCGTTATACTCTATTCGTTGGAAAATTTTAAAGAAATGTAAGGCCTACTCAAACAAAACAAAACAAAACAAAACAAAACAAAACAAAACAAAACAAAACAAAACAAAACAAAACAAAACAAAACAAAACAAAACAAAACAAAACAAAACAAAACAAAACGTTGTAAATTATGCCTGCACGAAAAGTTCGTTATAATTTACTATCCCGAACTAAGCTCATTGAACTCAAGAAACGAACTAATATCGGCATGTAGGCACAGGAAAAAATTCCTGCTCTGTAGCCAGTAGTCAGATTACAAACATATATTTACGCTTTCCTAATGACGTCAAACATTTGTATATAACAGCTCAAGTTACCTATAGGTTATAACATCATGTAAATACGCGATATCACCATTCACCTGATGAGTGTGGCAAGCCTAGTTTGCCATACGAAACAAATTTGTCGTGAATAAATGTTTTAAACGAAGTAACTTTTTAGTGAACAGGAAAAGCTGAGACTGAGTCGGATTCGAACCGGCGACCTCTGGGTTACAAGCCCATGTTCACTAAAAAATACTTACCTATGGTGATGTTCACTAAAAAATACTTACATACGGTGATTAATATATATATATATATATATATATATATATATATATATATATATATATATATATATATATATATATATATATATATATATATAGATAGATCTATACCAAATATGTATTTAGAATCATATATGAGTAGAGTGCTCGATATACCGAAGTATAGAGCTAATATAGATAAAGATAAAGATATTAAGCAATGCAAGAGCTACAACAACACAACGAAACGCTGCAGTCTTTGTACACATGAGAAATTCATCATAATCTACCACCCTGAACTTTGTTCTTTAAATTCAAGAAGTGAACTTTTATCGAAATGCAGACATAGAAACAAATTTCTCTTAAGCAATATACATAAATTAACTGTATATGTAATCTATACGTAATTTAATACTTGAACATTCCGTTTACGTCAAACATGCATAGTATATATAACCTTGGCAACAACATAGCGCGACATTTAAATTCACCTGATGAGTGTGGCAAGCATTGCTTGTCATACGAAACAAGTTTGTAATGAATAAATCTTATGAAGTAAATTGATTGGTTCTCTACTAGCAGGATATTAGCTCATATCCTGCTATAGTAGAGAAAAATAAAATGGCGGCTCGAACTGAATTTCCGACGTTTTGCGAACGAGAAAACGGCAAGTTGTTCGCTATTTATAGCATTTACAGGATTAAAAACACAATGAAAAAACTCCCACAAATTGTTTACTGGTAATCAAATTAATTTTTAAAATTTAAAATGGTTAAAAATATATATTTTTGAAAAAATAATCTGCCGAAAGAGCGAATTAAGATAAACATAAACAAAATAGAAAAATATTGAAAATATCCGAAAAGCAAAGTCTGTGAATTCAGACCTTGTGTATATAATAAAACAGTCATTCCACTCACTCTCGTCGAATATGAACGATGGCCGATTCGCGCTACGCGCCTCTTCGGCTATCAGCTCATATTCGACTCAAGTACTGTTAAAGAGTAGTAGAATTGCACATTCTGTCATATACATGCATGTTGAAGGTTGCAAGATAAGAAAATTAAGAACATAAGAAAAAGGACGACGATAAGAAAGCATACGAAAAATTATCACATTTTGGGGACTCTGAACTTGTGAGCGTAACATTTATGCTACACGAGAAAGAAAATTGCTTCTGTAACAATGTTTGCAAGATAGGGAAGCTGGAAACATCAACGTTTTTCTGATGTTAACGTTTTAACAATATAGTTTCCCAATTTCCCATGGCCATGACATTTCTGACAATCATTTAGTACAAGTGAGCAAAGATGCGTGGTGTGAAGATATTCGGAGAAAATAATTCCCTCTATGAAACAAAACTGAAAAATCTCACACTACTAATTGGTTTTAAATATTTTAACATTTAGGTGCGCACGACAAAGGAGGAGAGGGTATTTTCACACGCACCAATGGCAAACTGATACAATATTCGAATTGGAATCTCGCTGAGCCGAATAACTGGGGGTGGGGCGAGGACTGTTCACAACTACTTGGAAATGGATTATGGAACGATATGCCATGCAATTACCGTTTACAATATATATGCGAGAAAGAAAAAGGTAAATAGTTTGATTCTTTCAAAATTTCCCCCGATTATTTTTTCACAGTGATGGAAAACTACTTACTATAGATACTTTTTGGCATTACTACGAACAAAAATGGCTAAATATGATCCGATTTAAAATGGTCAGTCAAAGTCCCAATTGCATGAAATTATTCTTATTTCGGATTCAAATTTAGGAATATGAATAAAGATTGCCTAACACATGGGTTATTTTTAAATTTTGTGCTAGAACATTAGTAATCGAAAGTTTGTAGAAAGCTCGCAATGTCAATGGACAAATATTTGTTCGGAGAACGTTTTATGTACAATGAGCCTCTGGCTTGTGTTAATTGGTAACTACAGTACACCACGTGTGTATGATGGGTATTTTAATAATCATTAAAAAACTCATTAACAATTCATGAGGAAAATACAAAAGAAATGAATGTTTAATCAATGTTTGTAAATCGGATAAAGATTTGTCCTGATTTACATAAACTTCAGCTTTGATTTTCCCGGCTTAGACAATGTTTATTTCTAAAATTACTTCGCCAATGAACTCATAAGATGGGTCGTTTTTTAAGCACGATAAAACATTCGCATCCGATCTTTATCTGATATACAAACTCTCGCTTTCGGGTCGAGTTTTTATATCAGATAAAGATCGGCTTCTCGTGTTTTATCTAGTACTTATCAATCATTGTAGTTATTCTTATCATGTTGCCAATTATTTTTGTTTCTTCTATCTAGAGGTAAAAGTGAAGCCCACTAATATAACTACCACTGTAACTCCAGGTAAGTACAAGCAAGGAACTATTGTGCAATAAACCTGTGTGTGTTTGTGACGGTAATAAATGAATGTAAGCCCCCTATATAAGTAACATTTGCTTTTGCGGTAAACAGTAGGAAAAATACTTTTAGGTAATAAACACCAAGCAGTCCCCATTGGCATTGACGTAATTACTAGCTGGGGCACCTGTTCCCCGGGCGAGTATAGGTTTCGGCATTCATTTTTAGTGGATCGGCAATCTCCAATAGTGAATCTCCAATTTTCTTCGATAGCCACAAAATAGAATATTAATGAGCTGCCTAATTTTCCCCCCAATTATCCATAAGGCTCCTGCCAATTTTAACCAAATTACCCATAAATAACCCGGCATTTTGAGGAAAATTCGGGAAAATTGAACAATTTTACAAGGAATTTCGCACGAAAACAACAACCTTCGCAAATCGCAAGTTTATACTTTTGGCTGCGCTGCTTTATATTTTGAGAAGAAAGCGACAGCGTTCGATTCAGCGTTAGACATTGTACTTACGGATACCAATTGTATTACAAAACACCAGTATTCTAGCGATTTATGGCTTTGAAAATCAAGCGAAATTCGAGGCGAAATTGGTCAAATTGTATTGTTTAATTGTTGACAAAGTACGTTTCAGTGTTTTGTAATGCCTAATGGCGCAATAAGGATAAAAATACCACCGTTCGATTCAGCGTTAGAAATTGTACTAATTAGTAATTACGGATGTCAAATGTATTACTAAACAGCAGTATTCTATAGCGATTTATGGCCTTTGTCTTTGAAAATCAAGCGAAATTGTGTTGTTGATAAATCGCTCAAAATTATTAAACTAATTATAAAAAAATGCAGTACGTTTGATCCTTGATAACTTTAGTATCATTGGTTTTCTCTTTTTCGGCCGTATACCAGTGGATTCGTCTCACTTCTCTCTTCATTTTGATAGTATTTTGAGCCCAAAATATTTTATTTTGAACGTTTTAAAGCGCAGTTTAATCCTAGCGTACGGACCAACTGGCGGCTGACAGTTTTGAACGAGGTCTTGAAGAAATAGAATGCAGCGTACTATTAAATATAACTTTACTTGTAGGGCCTACCGCATTTTAATACTGTGTTATTAAGCCTTTCGCGCCGGTATCCGACTTTTCTGCTTAGCTCGGGAAAAACTTTAAATCTTAATTGAAATAGCTGAGTATTGTATGTATCATGTACAGTAATATGCGTATTTGTATAGCCCTAGACTTGGTTCAAGTTCGTCTCAGTCAAGGCCAAGGGGTAGAAAATAGCGATGCACGCGAGCGGTCAAAAAAGGTGCGAAAATATAAGAGAAAACCTTCAACCAAGTCTAGTATAGCCCCAGCGAGTTAACGCTCCGTTGAGCGTCTTGTTAGCTGGAATTTTGGCAGTGACGAGGGTAATCCTATTAAATCTGGCAGGGTAATCCTATTAAATCTACAGTGTAGTAATCTGTTGGCAGAAGTAGTATTTCTCTTCACTCCTGTTCCTGTGACTTCATGCATATTGAAGCAAAAACCGAGATGAGGGACTCTGAGCTGTCTTTGATCGAAAACCAAACATTCTACAGGTTAGGGTAAAGCGCGGATGCGGACGGATAGACGGCGGTCGGACGGGCGGGAAAGTTCTTTGAAATAAGACAAGATTTTTTTACCATTTCTTTTAAATAAAATTTTATTTATTTTTCACCTCACATATTTTTTACAGTCTCAAGTATTACGAAATCAGCACTCGTTTGTCATTATACCCGTACTACCATTGGCTGTCCTTCTGGCTCGGTTATAAACGTAAACTCTGCGTTTTGGGGAAGAAGAGAAAAAACAACTTGTACATATGTCAGTGTTCAACCTTGTGGTGTAAAGTTTATTGCTACAATAACGAAAAATTTGAAGAACAAGTGTGATCATTTTGATAGCTGCGATCTCCATGCTTCTGAGTTGGAGTCCTATCTCAATAATCCTTGCCCAACAGTTCATAAATATTTGGAAGTAAATTACACATGTGCAAAAGGTAATTTCTCTTCGCTACTTGAGTGAGGTGTGTACCTAATTTGTCATTAGAAATGCAAAATAAACCTTAAATAGATAAGAAAAACTAGCCAGCCGCAATAGACTTTTGCAACAATTGGTGAAATATGTCAAAATCAACCTTAGAAATGAAACGAACATCTCAATATCAGTAAAAGCCAAAAATATCAGCTTTTAATATGTTATGTGAAAGTAATGGCATTCAATTTAAGATGGCTCCCTACAATATCATGAACTAGAACATCATGGAGAAAATCATGAACTAGATCAAAGTTTTTGAAGGATTGTTACTTGTCTGAAATAAAAGATTGTACAATTTTTATAAAGCAACAGTCTAAGAATTCGTTATGTTGCTATGGCAACAATGGCGATTTTTAAAGATGTCCGATATTTTGGCTTTTAACGTAGTTAAGTTAAAAACGCCTGGTTACCCCCATTTTTTTATTTCTGAAAACCTTTTCTTGTAGTACAATAAACTGACCAAGTACAAAAAAATTATTTCGAAAAACCGTGTTTATAACTTTTTTAAATTTGCCTGTACAGATTTTTTTTAAAATTGGTCAGATAGTTTATTGTACTACAGGAAAATGTTTTCCGACATAAATATGGGCTAACCTGGCGTTTTTTTAAGTAAACTGCGTTAATAAAAGCCAAAATATCGGCTATCTTGAATCGTCATTGTTGCCATAGTAACAGTGATGACGTCACCTTTGTGACCAATTTCCAACTGTTTGATTGTTGCTGTATATATGGTGTACAATGTTTTATTTCTAGCAAGCAACATCTCGTCAAAGAATTGATTTGATCAACATCTCGTCAAAGAGTTGATCCATTTTCACTGTTCTATAAAATCTAGGGAGCCAAAACTTGCTCACCAGAACAATTTCGCGCTTTCCAAATTGGACGATTACTTCATTATATACAAAAATGCGACAATGAGCTCAATAACCGTCCGTGCAAAAATTAACTCAGACAAATAGATTATACAATAACCTCTGTTTAGTTTCCAGACCATCTTGATAGATGTTTCCACTAGGTGCATGCATGAGCATTCCCAAAAAGAACGGTATCAAATTTGTTCCCCTTCAATAAACAAGTGTGTAATTTGAGACTGTCAGTGTTGCTATAAGGTTTTAATCTTGCAATTACACCCCAAGCCACAGGCTGTTTATTTATTCTGCTGCCCGTCGCCGGCATGATCAACATCTGAGCATCGATTTTCCAAAATACGTAATGCAATTACACTACAAAAATCATATTAACACATCCTTAGATACTCACCAAAAGGTATGTAAATCTGGATGGACATCGTCTGATGTCAACAAACGTCGCTGTTATCGCCTATTTGACACACCTAAGACATGGAAGGATGCCAGAAACACTTGCTCGCAAGATAATGGCGAGCTACTTAGCATTGGTGGAAAGTAAGTTGAATAATTCTTTGAAAACTTTTTAGCGCTAGTACTTTCAACTACTCTATATATGTATTTACTGTATTCCTAAGTCGCAGATGGGAATGTAACCCGACGCTGACGCTAGCCCTACTTGACCCTGACGCTACATAAACTAGACTATATAAATAATTTCAGGGATGGATCCAGCATGATCTGGTGGGGGGGGGGGGTGGAGCGGTGCTCTGCCAGTTCTGGTGCCGTGTTGTGCCGCCCGCCCATCAACTTGCTTCACTACTGCAAAGTCTTGCTTGACTACTGTATTTGAATTGCAATTGTTGTTTACAACTTCCCTCCCCAGTAAATCCATCCTTGAATAATAAAGTTAGTTTATCATTGAAGTTGTTTCCGCGATTTGTTTTTTGTCGACGTTACCACTCAACTATATTGGGTAAACAAAATTTTAAGTGAGTAAAAAATTTCGTAAATCATGAAAAACAAATCAACTGAGTTGATTTGTTCAACTCAAGGGTTGTTGCGTCACCACCGGTTGATTAAATTAAGGAACACCGACCAATTACCCGAAGTCAATTGAGCCGTTATGTTGTCGTGTTATCAAAAACATCACTTGTAAACTCTCTAATATACGATCTAAACAGATTATAACGCTTCTAAACAGCATGTTTTGGTTTGCAGAAAACACCATGTATGTTTGTTATTATTGCCCGGATTTTCATCAGGGAATCCGACCCCTTGTCGACGCCTTTGACGTCAGCGTAACTAGCCGCCATGTTCCTTACAGTTCTACACAAAATGTACAGTTCTAAACCCATATATTTATGCAGCTTCTTAAAACACTAATGTGTAGACAGTTCTTCAAATTTAACAAAATGTACTTTTAAAAGTCCCATTTACTGGTTTTCGTTGTGGATTCCCCAGAAAATGCCAGAAATGCTGTCATTGTAGCATAAAAAACACAAACGTTTTCAGGGAGCGGACCCCTAGACCCTCCTACTTTCCTTCAAATCATTTATGTGCTGGGGTAATGGAACAGAAGATAAAATTGCGGCGAGCTTTTGTGGATGGTTGGGTAAAACAAATCTTTGCCAGAGCCACTAGATTCAAATGTTTTTGTGGAACACCCCCTTCACTCCCCTACCCAAAATCGAATTTGTCTGCCCTTTCTCCCACCAACCACACCTTTATTTTGCCACCTATATGAAAATTAAGAACGTTTAAAAACGTTAATTATCTAATCCAGGTAGAAAATCCTTTGACCCTCCCCCCAGTCAAACACCCAATGCTTCGTAACATCCCTAATATTTTTTTTAAATAAACCATGCCTCCCAGCCAGTGGGCTGAGGAGACATCGTCATTCCCCATGGCAGGCTTGTTCTAGACTTGGAGTGAGTACTTCTCGTTAGCGTACTGGCTAGGAACATAGCCACTGCATAACGGCTACATGGCGGCCGGTCATTTTGCAGACTAAAGAGAGCGCGCCACGTATACTATACTATACTATACTGTACTATACTATACTATCTATACTATACTATACTATATACTATACTATACTATACTATACTATACTATACCATACCATACCATACCATACCATACCATACCATACCATACCATACCATACCATACCATACCATACCATACCATACCATACCATACTATACTATACTATACTATACTGGTCATTTTCCCTCCTGAGCTATTATGCCATTGATGCTTTTATTATGCCATTGATGATTGCATCAAGCTTGTGACCGTTGACACCAAAGAGTATAGATGTATAGATATAGAAGTCCGACTCGTTGTCGGCGCCTGTGATGTCAGCATAATCACCGCCATGTTCCTAGACAAGTTCGCTAAGAGAGGCCCTGGAAACGATTGAAAATGGCGCGCGTTCGGAGCGTGGCTGAGCGCATCTCATTAGCGCACGGGCTAGGAGTAGGGCAACCTCATATACTCTGTGATTAATACGCGCTCACGTCCAAGAAATCTATTAAAATTAAAAATATCATGAGAAAACCTAAAAGTTTTAAAAAATTATGATAACCTGAGGACTTAGCAACAACCGCGGTGTAACTATCTTCGCATTTTATTCAAGTATTTTACTCGTACGTGTGGAGTGTTAGAATACACTTGCATTATTGTAATTACCTTATTCAAATTTCGTTTATTTTATAGATTTACCATAAAAACAGCATGATTTTAACTCTATTTCGTACGTTTTGACCAAAAGCCTTTGCGCGAAACGTAGAAATAACATCAACATCCATAATTGCTTATATATTGCGCAAGTCTTGATAAATCCGGATACGTTGTGTTTTTGGCACATGCATGGCCCAGGTCCGTGACATCCAACTTTCCATGCTTTTCGGTTCTTAGCTCTTTACTTCAAATTCCTCTAGCTGTCCCCTGCCTTTAAATTATCCAGAAATGAACACCTTTTTCTTCTTCAGCCCATTTTCCCAAGAAAACGTCCTTCTATAGCTGCTGTTAACAGGTTCTTAGAATGGCTTAGATCGTGGCCAATCCACATCGTTTGTTGTTTGATTATTCTTTGAGGGAACGATCTTTTTTCATTGATCATTGTCAAGACTTCTTCATTTTTTATATGCTGTATATAGCTGATTTTAAGCATCTTTCTCCAGCACCACATTTCAAATGCCTATATTTTTCTTATGTCCTCTTTTCCAGTGGCGAAGCTTAGCTATACGATGTCAACTACGTTCTAAATGCCTGCATACTTTTATTTTTTATTTTATATCACTTCGCGACCAGACTGCAACAACACTACAGAACTCATATTGTTTTAATTTTTATCCTCATTTTAGTTTGGAACAATCGTTTGTAACAAGTCTCATGGAACGAGCATGGTACTCGAACGTCTGGATTGGGTTAAATGATTTAAAGACAAAAGGTGTTTATGAGTGGTCAGATAGTTCTTCTGTTTCCTGGACCAACTGGTATGCTGGACAGCCTGATGAGAGACGAACAGATAAAAGTTGTGTGTATATGAGTCTGGAGCGTGGTAAACGCGGTTTGATGTACTGGAGTGATCAGAATTGCACCAGCAAATATGCCTTCATGTGTGCATATAACACTGGTAAGTTTATCAACATATGAACCATTTATGTAAGATAGAATGGTGTTCGATATTTATTACAGAGTGTGAGAAAAGGGATGCAATGAAGCGGGGGCTAAGGGGTGCTGCGCCCCTCTTGTTAAAATTCCATATCGTTTTTATTGATTTCCATAACCTGGAAAGTTCTTTGCAACTTTGGTGTCGAAATTTCAGTAATTTCCAAAGAAAATGACTAGTTAGTAATCTCGACTTTATCACTTTGGGTGACTTTAATATGAAAAAAAATTTGCTATGTCAAACCAAAAATAAATGCTGAAACTTTCCATGTTTATTATGTTGTCGTTTCCCATTCCCCCCCCCCTCCCCTTAGCGTTCCAGGATTTCACCAATTATTTTTATATAATGCCTCATTAATCCTTATTATAGTCATTTAATTGGTTGATTCTAATCACATGATATTGAACGCCGTCGATTCGTTAAATGGAATATTTTGTATTTCACCTCATGAAACTATTCTTACCTTTGCACTCATAAACATTCACTATTGGTATAGAAATGCATTATTGGCAAAATGAAAAGAGAAATCCATGTTAGATTCACACGAAAGCTCGTCGACACAGACAGAATATTAATGTATTCATAATCAACTTGTTAATAATTACATGAAGGTTGATATAGTAAAATAAATATCTATGTATTCTTATTTCCTATATTTTTGTGTTTTACAGATGGCACCACACAAAAACCCACAACTGTTCCTCAAGGTATATTATTATTTTCCTGATTTTTTCAGTTAAATTGAACTCTAGATGCTAGAAAAGACTGAAATTTCGTGCGAAATCTCCATTTTTGATCATTGACTATTTTGAACATTTCTCATTTGAACGTTTCTGTAGATGTAAATCTTTACCACAGGGTCGCTGGTTCGATTCCGTGACCTGCATGTAAAGTTGAATTTTTCTTAACTGTTCCCAGTTAGCTCTACAATATGTATATAGTTTTCGCTCGAAATTTTTATCTCCAAGAAGCCTTCAAATCATTAATTCTACGGTATATTCTGTAGCTAGGGTTTCACTACAAAATTAATCACCTTGAAGTAGGCAGTTCCCCTCTCCCGCCCTCCCCATTTTGTAAATACTCTGTCTATCGATTCGCGATTCTGCAGTAATTGTCATGCGATACTGTTTTTCCTGATGAAAGGTCCCTGCAAACTTGTACAATACTACGTTGGGTTCGTTCGATCTATTATAGAATATGGTTGTCTATAAATGCCTATATAGCCTTATCTTATAAAGATCCCAATAATAACAGTGTAATCCCGTCTTACAGCCACCCAAACGCGTTAATATACGGCCACCCCGTTAAAACGGCCAAATTTTTTCTGTCCGTTCTTGCCCGTATAATTTATAAACGGGGTTCAAATCAACTTCAAATCTATATACAAAAGTCGAGTTCGTTTAATTTAAGTGTGTTCGGATTCACCAATTGCTAGAGAGTTTTCAATAGGCAATTCCAGCTTTTAATTTCTGGATGGATGGGGTGTAAGGTATTGCTGATTATGCTGAAAAAATAAAAACGACGGCCGTATATCCACGGAGTGATAGCTTATACTTGTAAATATTGAAATATTTCGGTTGTTTCGGCAGTTTTTATTGAAAATTTTCAGCATCATCAGCAATATGATGCCTTACTTCTCATTACGCCCTGTGTGCATAAATTAAAAGCTGGAATTGCCTATATGAACTGAGTTTCGGGCTTACCTCAAGGTGCTCACTGCCGTTGGTTTATCCAAGAAAGTCACGTGACGATTCCTTTCTTGGACTCGTAATGAAACGTTTGATGTTAGCGATACTATGCCACCGTCTGCTAATATTATTTCAATTCATTTGCATGTTAAAATATGTCCAATCGTACATTTATATCGTTTTAGTTAACTACGGAAAGTGCTATGGTACTGGATTCGTAACAAAGGACAATCTGCCCTACTGTTATTACTATGACAACAGTACAAATGGGTAAGAAATCCCTAAACTACTACGAAAAATAATGATACATATTGTAAGTGAACATTCTAGATTTTTGGCATCTCGCTCGACAGAACAGAATGTTGAGGGTTTGTTGATGGAATTTCGAGATAAAACAAATTTCTAGAGTATGCTAGCCCTTCGTAGAATTATAGGTACCGATTATAACATTGCTTTTAAGGCGGTTTTTCGTGAAACGAGGTGAGTGTGAGAATGTTGAGAACATGTGAGGTGAATTGATGTGGTGTGAGGATTCTATGGGTGCCTGAGGATGCTGAGGGTGTGGAGATGCTGTAGGTACGTGAAGTTGAAAATAGTAGGGTGGCGTGAAATTCATTGAATATTAAAGGGAAAGTCAAGTCCGTAATGCAAACAAACGGTTTGTTTACATTTTGAACTGCTGTATTTTTTAAAATATGATGTACTGTCTGAATATCTAACACCATTTTGGTTCGCTATGCTTCTAAATGAATATGGAATAGAGTTTATGTTCAGAAAAATTCGAAACATTCGAAATTTGGGCAATGTTCACATTAGAGGTCCTCACATTGTTATGAGCAGAACCGATGCGCAGAACGGACTTGACTTCCCCTTTAAATTAGAGTTCAGTATGTTTAATATCGCGCATGCTATTGCGTTGATGTGAGGTCGAAGTGTTGTGAGCTGGAATTAGCGAAGTAAGGTTGAATGGAATGGATTGAACTCGTTCAATGTATTGACTGGTGGGAGTCCCGTAGATCTGGTATGAGAATGAAGGTGTAATTTTGATTGAGGTGGAATGAGGTGCAGTGTTGCTAATTGGGGTGGTGTGACTTGGAGTGAAAACGCATGCGAATACTGAGTGAGTGTGAGGTTGAATGAAGTGGATCTGTGGATGGAGGTGTGAGATGAATGAAGTGAAGTGATGATGCCGAAAGTATGTGAGGATGCTGGGAATGTGTGAGGTGGAACGATGTGAAGTGAGGTGGTGTGACTGTGATGTGTGCATTGTAACGTTGCATGAGACAAATAATGTATGAAGCAAACGAACAAACTAAGAAACATTAAATTGTTCAAATGTACATTTTGCATCTCCAGGCCCAAGTCAGTATAACGTATTTGTTGTCTATCAATAATAGAAATAAAAGGCACTGTACAATATTGTTTTAGTCAAAATTGGCTGGATGCTCAATACACCTGCCGGTATAATAAGAAGGCAAAGCTTGTAAGTGTACAAAGTAAAGAAGAAAACGAATTTGTCAAGACTATATCGAAAAATGCAATCTGGCTTGGTCTGGAAGCAAAAGGAGTATTTCGAGGTAAACTTCACTTTCTTGTACGCGCAGTTTTGTATAATTTATATAGTTAATTAAGATACTAGAAAGTCTCCCCCTCTCTATATTACGGTCACGATTAACATTTCTATAGCGCAAATTTAAATGTGGATATGATCAAATGCACTTTACATCTTATTTATCTAATTACATACTTAGCCTAGACTATTTTATCTTTACAACAATTGTCATATTCCCCGAGCCAACGGCGCTGAGCGCCTCGCGAGTGTACTAATTCCTCCCGGCTATTTACTCCAGGGGAAAGGAAAACATTAGCGAAGTCTAAAGTTCATCGTTAATCGCGGGCGTGGGTGGTCATCCTCACTGATCTCAAAATATAGTGGTCGGCCATGAATAGCGAACACTGATTGGTCCAATTTAAAATTTGCATTATAATGACTGCATGACGACAGCGAAATAGCGAACATTTCTTGATTTGATGATTTCTAGCCTACGGTATATACCCCAGCAACTCGCGAAACGTGTTTCTGATTTCTTGCAAGATCATAGATTTTGTAAATTTCAAAAGCTTTTTGAGAAAAAAAAGGCGAAAGAATTGCTATAGAAGCCGAAGGCAAGTTTTAGCTAATTGCTTTAAAAACTGATTGTTGCGTATACGTTAAATGAAAAAAGCGGAAATGAGAGCATATGTAATTTCAGTGTGTCTTTATTGATTACCCTTTTTTATTATATTAATAACGTTTTAAAATGCTTTGCGTAGCGTTTGTGGTTGAATATATTTGGGAAATTGATAATTTTGTAATTAAAAGTAATGAAATTATCCTGTTATATCATGACAACTACTTTAAATACATCATGTTCGGAAAATACGATGGTTTTGTCAGCAAGGCGAGGGTTTCTGCATGCATGTATTTTCTAGTAGTTTCTTAATTGTGTTTATGCTAACCCACCCTGTCAACTTTCCCTGTGGGAGGAAACAGGAGGACCCGAAAAAACCCACGACATTCGGCAAAACGTTTCGTCTTTAACTTAAGACATCTGCTTACGTAACTGTTCCGCCGCTCCAGGGGGGTTCGGCTGAATCAGTCTGCTATCGCAGACTAAGGTGAAAGGCGCTTTTATACAATGACGACTGCGCCACCGAAGCATTTGTACCGTCGCCACTCTCCCTCTTTCTATGTAAGTTCTATTTTCTCAGCTAATTCCTTTTGATCTCGACAGGTCATGTATGGTCAGATGGTCAACCAGTTGGTTATACTAACTGGGATGTTGGTCAGCCAGACAGTTATAACGGTCTTGATGCTTGCGTAGAAATTAATCCAGACACAGGATTATGGAGCGACAGACCTTGTAATGAGATTAAGGATGTGGTTTGCAAGAAACCTAGAAGTAAGATTTGACTTACTTATCAGCTACTCTTATTTACATATAATGTTAACAGCTACTCTTATTTATACTTATTATCAATCTCACAACAGAAAAGCATTCAATGAGTTCAATCGATCGGCTTTCTCAAAACCACTGATCTGAAATACATATCTGGATACTTGCCTTACGACAACTTTTATGTGCGGCATACCACTTTTACACTTTTTATAACAATATAATAATGTGTGCGTTTTTTTAGGGATTAATCCAGTTACCCCAACCTCCGTAATTTATCCAACATCAGGTAAGGAGAGAAATGTCTATCTTATTAAATAAAGTGGATATATACGACACAAAGCTGTTTCTTGTCTTATACGAAAGAAATTGTAAAACTGCATGTAGAATAACTTATTTTGTAGATTTTTATTTCCATGCTTTGTTGTTGAGATATTTTTTAAAATTAAAAACAATGCAATCAGCTCGACGTCAAATTGATATCATGTTCAAAATAGTATAGGAAAAAGAGGTGGGAATGATCATATTTTTTCGTTGTGTTTGTGAAGTTACTCTGAGTGTATATCCACACCGGGCAAGCTTGAAAAATACGCCTGCATGGCCACGGTGGGAATCGAACCTATATATATACGACCTTTGGAATACTAGCCCAATGCTCTGCCAACTGAGCTACGCGGTCAGGTCGGTTAGAGTATGTGATATTTCGGAACTCTGAGTCTAGACTTAAATTTAAAACAAGAAGATGTTTGCTTGAATGCAGGTGAAATTACTTCACAATTTTACAGGTTCTTCACAGTGTAAGAAAGGCTGGACGTTATACCAAGGAATGTGTTACATTGTGGGGAACAATACATCTTATGACTATCTGACATGGCAGGATGCTGAGAAAAAATGCCAAAATCTTGGAAATAATGGACATCTCGTCAGCATCCACAGCCAAGATGAGGAGAAATTTGTTAAGTTTCTTATAAAGTAAGTTTTCTATACACCAATTGATACACCTACAGCAGACCAAACATGCCTAGAGAGAGGACAGTTGTAAGTAATTAATGAGGTATAAGTTATCAAGATAAGCCGTATAGGTATACAACAATTCAAGCACACAAAAACAACGTGAAAGGGGACGAAAACTAATTATAAAATTATAAAAAGAACAACAAACGTTCCAATAAAAAATCAAAACAACTTTGCACCCAAAATTTGCAAATTATACTTTATTATTCATATTGGTTTTTGTTGTTTTATTTTTTTATGAGAAACCACATCTTCAAAAAAATAATATTAGACAAGAAAATCAGCCAAGGATGACTGTCGATAAAATTATTGTATAAAAAGGTTATTTAACTGAACCTTAAGGATATTTTTCGTTCACATACCCCACATTTTTCCGCAATAACCTTTTTTTCTCAATAAAAATATTTTGCGTAAACTTTATGATTCACTCGGAAGATTTAAGACATTAAGACCCTATAATTGGTACTCCTGATATTTTTTTGCGTCTAAACTTTCGTAATTGATCATTTTTCACGAAGCGCTCAATACGTTCCCGTTGACCCATTTTCTGTATTTTCTTGTTTGTTTCATTTCCCGAAAAAGGAGTAATTGGCCGTGTTTTTGTTTTCGATAGTAAAATTTAAATTGTTCACATCCGCATACGTTTTTCCGCATTATTTATGAGTAACTGATTCTGCATGCGCAGTTGGCGAGGCTAGCTGTAGCAATAACAATCACGACCCAGAGCAATGCCTGTGCGCGGGCTATGATGGCATTGGCTCTGGGGAAATTGAGCCCAGTACAGAAATCGTACCCAGAGCCAATGCCATCCTAGCCCGCGCACAGGCATTCCTCTGGGTACGAGATTGTAGCAATAATAGGTCATGCTATATGCAACTTTTTAATTAACGATTTGCATTATTCAAACCTTTAGAAATGTATTATCTTTGAATTAATCTACTTTTAGATGCAGATTTATTAGCATAGGATGACCAGTTGCCATGGCTAGCTCACCACTGATTCTGTGGTTCATTATGCCATGTTATCTTGTTATGAATTAAATTAATTTCAACTGATTACATTTGTCGCTTGAAATGAAACCAGATCGAGCGAAACCTTTTTCTAATGATAAATTTTTATAGGTCTCACTATAGTTCTTCTTTTTGGATTGGTTTGAACGATTTGGATACTGAAGCTACCTACAAATGGACTGATGGTTCCAATTATTACTACGCTAACTGGAACAATAGGGAACCGAACGACTACATGCGGCAGGAAAATTGTATCCATTTGCTTCGTTACAATGGGAAATGGAATGACCAGCATTGCCAGTACAAATATCCATATGTTTGCAAGGCATATAACGGTGTGTATGATTTACTCTCCCCCTGGGAAAATTTCACATATCACTTCACATCTGAATGATTTCACATTTGAAAATACACGTTAATTTTGACATGTGAAATTCAACATTTTCATATATAATTTATTCTTTCAAATATGAAGTAATGATGGTTTTTATGTGAGAAATAATTTCTCTTGTGATTGTTTTTCCATGTGCAGTGGAATTGGACAATTAACATATTTCATTCATTAACATTTTCAGGGTTCCCAATAGAAGCCGGCACCCGGCGATTTTCGCCGTCTATAGTCTGGACAATCGCCGGTTATTTCTCGAAATTACAAACCAAAATGTTTCCTCCTCGTCGCAGAAATGTCAAGGGGAAGGTTTCTTGCTTTTCTAACATAAATTTTACACAATAAAACGACAAAACCTCCAAAACCTTAAGGCCCATTTCCAGTCAGGAAAATTTTCGGCAGAAAGAAAATTTTGTAAAATGTATTGAAATGATATTTTCGGGAAATTTTCTGTCCGTGGAAATTTTTCTTGACAGGAAGGAAATGGACCTCTGCAAAATGACTGGGTTTAAATTTCTGAATTTTCACATCAAAGAAACGCCCTCGGATCCCCCCTCCCCCAAGCGAATGATACCTTCGGCACCACATTGCCGGAATCCTGTATTTTCACACGTTTTTTTTTGGTGTGTCCCGAAAAAATATTTTGGTGACCACCACCCCCCCCCCCCTTGCCGCTCGCCAAGATTTTGGGTGAGAAATATTAATGTTAAGTTTGCCTGTTCAAGCAAACTATACTGTGCCCTCCCCCCCCCAAAATGAAATTACTTCGAGTTTGCCTTGTTCGCTTGTTGTTACATGCAGCGCTTCGTCATCGAGGGAAATATTGGGGAGGGGGTGTATTTTGTGAACCAGAATAGTTTTTATATACGGTTCACAAAATTGTTTATGAATTCAAAATGAATATAATAAAGTGGAAATTGAAATTCGTGTCGTGCAATTATTTCAGTCCAAATTGCACTCCACTCTATTCAATTACTTTTAATCATTATAAACATAGGCGTATGGGCCGGGGGGGGGGAATTTCTGCGATCGGGCAAAATCAATGTGACATTCGGGCAAAACATGAAAATGTCGGAAAAAATATGATGTGTGTTTGCGAAAATCACGTGATGTTAGGTAACATTTTTTATATGTCCGGCAAAATTTTCGTATTTTACTGTCAAGTTTTTGGTATGTCCGGAAAATTTTTTTTGGTGTGTCCCGAAAAAATATTTTGGTGACCACCACCCCCCCCCCCGCCGCTCGCCAAGATTTTGGGTGAGAAATATTAATGTTAAGTTTGCCTGTTCAAGCAAACTATACTGTGCCCCCCCCCCCCAATAAGAAAAAATCACTTATAAATGTCCTTTTATGAGGGATAAACTGTATGTTACACACTAATATTTCTATCACAACTTGAATTAAAACATATATGTCATTTGTTTTAGTTTGTGGAAAACACCATGCAATGTATATATTTATTATTGCAAAGTTTCGATCCTCAACGGCTTATGTCTGGATATTTATCAGTGGCATTGCAATCTCGTTCCCAGGCTTTTAGAGAAGATCCTGGGAATGAGGTTGATAGCACTGATGAAGATTCGAGCTTACGGATTGAAAGTTTTGTAATATCGCCATGCAAACAAAAAAGGATCTTACTAAAATATCTATGAATTGGAAATCCTGAGGAAAGTATTCTTAATCTCATGCTTTCCCCCCTTATTTACAGAATCGTATAAACCGCCTGTAAAACCGACAGAAGCGCCTAGACCTGAACAGGGTAAGTATAGGATAGAACTAATTCTCTTGTATTAGAAATTTCAACTGTTAATATTTATGCCATCCTTTCGCATATATACATACATACATACATGGCATGCGTTAAAACGTTTCTGATTGGTCGCTTGAAAATCGATTGAAATAAAGCTTTGCCTTTGATTGTTGGTAAAAAAGGGAACATTTTATACACCACAGACTAATCATTATGTTATGGTCTCTCCCTCTTTAAAACATATTTTTCTTGTTTGAATTTTTCGTTTGTTTTGCACTGGTATTAACTATCATGGAAACTGTACCAAATCTTAATGTGGCCGGGATCCAGTTAACGAGTTTTGCCATTTTGGAAGTGTATTTTCTCAACTTTTCTATCGAACTTTATTGTCAATTAATACGGCAATACGGCGAGTATCAGCTTTGAACTTGGATTGTTGCACATGACTTGGATAAAATAAGGTCAGTTATATGTCAAAAGCAAATGGCTGAGTGTTTTTTATACAATATAAGTTATATTTTATTCAATTTATTGATTTAAACAATGAAAAATTTTGTGCAACCTACTCGAGAAAAGTTTGTCCAAAAAAGGCAAAAGATTCCACGCTTTTTCTTGGGCCGTGCTCGATCGAGTTCTTGAGCACATACTTCTGTCAGGGAAACTAAAACCTTTTTATAATACATTTATTTGAACGAAATTTAAAAATGATGCGGAAAACTTTCACAGCTTCCTTAAATTTTGCTTGTTATCGAAAATTGAAATATTTTAACCGAAATCATTATTATTTTAACCGAAATCATAAGTCACTGAGCTATCCGCCATCTTGGATTGTTAGGGTAGTTTAGGTTTCGCGCTTGATGGTACTGAACGGCAAAACAGCAGGATATAAATTTCTTGGCAGAATTTAATTTGTTTCTCTTCGTCTTCTAATTTTTTTCTTTCTTATGCATGTAAAAAGCATTTGTTTTGGATACAGCTATAATACTCCATTTTCTTTATATACAAATTTTTCTTAGCCTGAGTATGCATGATTACCTATATACAAACAGGGTCACTCAAATGTTTATCCTAATATCTAATGGCCATCATGAGCCCGGCAAAGTTAATCACTATTTCGAATATCAAACTGAAACTGATTTATAATATTTCATTAATCTACTAATTGTTATTTTTCAACCTTGGAGTAGATTTATGCGGCTAGCTATGTTTTGACATCACCAAAACCACCGTTAATGAGGAAAAATAATCCAATAAGTCGGACAAATGATTGTTTTCATAGCTATAAAGAGCAAACTAAAATTAGTAAATTTGCAAATTTTGGTTGCAAAATGCGGAAAAAATAGCCTTGCAAAATTTGCAATTTTGTATATTTTTATATTGCGTGTGGAAATTCCTACCAAATTTGGGCCGAAAATGGTAGCAATTTGCGCACGCAATACAAAAGTATACAAAATTTGCAAATTTTGCAAGGCTATAGTTTCCCCATTTTACAACATTTCGCAACCAAACTTTGCAAATTTACTAATTTTAGTATGCTCTTTCTAGCTGTGGTGATTTATTTGCATCTCCTTGCCTAGTTTTAAAATTAGGCTATAATGGGAATTGTCTCTTAAAAAGCGTGATATGTATATTGTATAAAATTTAAACATATATGACACTCTTGTCGTATATATTAGTGCAGTTACGAAATTTAAACCTTTGAAAATTTTCTAGATGGCTACTGTCCTAAGGGATGGTTTGCTCATGCTCAATATTGTTATGAGTTCCATACTCATCCCAGTGAGTACAGACGGTGGTCTGATGCCAGAGACGCTTGCGAACTGGGTCATAATTCAAGTTCATATGGAGAATTAGTCAGTATACATGACGAGTGAGTATCATATTGCATGTGATGGCGAGTAAAAGGCAAATTAGGCCAACAACTCGATCAAACTATATAGTCTGCGTCATTGTCCCAACGTAAAACGGTCAACATTTGTTCCCAAAGGAGTGTGGGTTATAATTGATTGTCCTTTTGTGGTTAGCAGCCGGGTTCCTCTCCTCCACAGAGCCTCCTTAAGTATTTATAAATAACTTACATGAAGTTTCCTGAATTAAAGTGAGCGCGCGGAGTGACAGGACGATTGTAATGAAGCCGAGAAGGCTCTGCCACATAATGCAAAAAAGTATGATTTTTGAACCAAACTTTTGTTTGACATTTTTTACACTTGAAATGGACGGAAATGTGGAAGAAATTGAAATAATTCTTCATAATCTGAGTATCGAAGGTCAGTAGAGTCATTTCTGTAAAGAAATGTTGCAATTTAGAGGATATTTATTATTAGATAGGTTATATCCATTTACAATCACGTGCAATTTCTCAATATTTTTTGGTGCAAATGGACAGAAGAAGATATTGATTTTGGATTCTCTCCAGGAGACTCAAGTGCGCCTGAAAAAGAAAGTGGAAAACATGTTTTAACACCCTCGAAGGTTGATATCGAACGGAACTCCAAACGATTATATACGTCATGTTGATTGCATTAACTACACGGCTAAAAACGATCAGATAGTTGCAATGTTGATGAAAACAGGATTGAACAATGTTTTGCTGCCCATATTGTTCACAGTTGTCAACAATATTGAACAATATTGTTACACCCGATTCAGGCTCAACAATATTGTTCAATATTGTTGACAAGTGTGAACAACGTGGGCAGTAAAACATTGTTCAATCCTGTTAAACAGCGGGCTCAGCGTTTTGGCGCGTGTAGCAGAGGCTTCCATTACTTCGCTCTTCCCATCACTTCTTGCGCGCTCACTTTTCAGAAACTTCATGTAAGCATCTGCGGAGGAGAGAGGGCGGGTTTGGTGTATCCCTGATGTATCGTTGGTAACTGCATGCCGTTGAGTGCTTTCAGGAATGCCGCTTCCAGTGAACTATATAAATACTGGAACGATGACGCCAGATAAAAGGCCCCATGATTGGTTGAAGTCATCACGACGGCCAGTAGAGCTAGTGATCTCTTGTGGGTTTAAAACACGTGTGTATTTCGCGGGAGTAATAACTGAAAAATAACTAGAGTTTGCCGATCGATAACATGCCTATAGGTATTATTGTTCTAGTTTACAGAAGTATAGAGTAGAGGCAAAGCTAACTATAGCTGTAGAATTATTTATATGAGGGAATGACTCTTATATATATAAGCTAGAGCAATAGTAAGTAAGCATGTAAGTTGTCTAAAATTGTGAATTGGGTATAGCATGCAATGCTAAGAAAAACGACGTTAGCCAAATTTGTCTATTTGGTAAACCCTTAACACTTTGGTGTACCCATTCATGAGGCCTACAAGTCTCTACATGATTGGCTCAAAAGCCGAGTGCCGTTAGTCAAACTGCAATCCTAATGGAAGCCGAGCTATACAAACTGTAAACCAAAATCTAAACTTGACTTGACTAAATGACAGACTATATGATTTCTTCACACGAAGCTCTTTGTGCCCATTGTATATTTGGTCAAAGATTGTAGGTTTACGGTCTACAAACTATATAATTATTACTAATTATAGGCTTATTTTTTACAGGTTTGAAGAAGCATTTATTACCACTCACCTAAAAGGTGCAACAAAACCTTTATGGATAGGCATGAACAACCTGCATAGATATTATAACTACTTCTGGGTTGATAATTCAATTGTTGATTATTTGAAGTGGAATACAAGGGAACCGCGATGGGGTTCGAATAGATGTATCGAGATCGTTCCATATCGTTGGGCTGCTGGTCGATGGAATTCTGCATATTGTTCTAAAATGAATGGATACATTTGCAAAAAAGGTTCGTTTGTGTGCGCGTTTGTCTGACATCGCGATAATTCAAAAAATATCAAACATATTAATAATACGAAACCTGTGGGACTAATAGACATTTTTAGTATTTTTGCACACTCGAGTGAACATAACAAATCCTACAAGTTGATTGGTCAAATTTGACGTATTAAGCTGTTACATTCTCCTACTGGTGAATATAACTAAACACATCTTTTCTTGGCGGAAGTAACTATATTTTTTCAAATGCGTTTTTTTCCACCCACTTTCAAAATTCACCCATCATTTTTTTCATGAGATTTAAATTTGATATTTCCAGCGGCTTCAAAGACGCCGGTGACGCCAACGCCTACTCCTAAAGGTAAACGTTTTGCTATCTTAAACCATAATTAAGAATAAATACTAAACTATCAAATACTATACACTGTTGTTAATTTCGAGGAGTTGATTTAATTCCGATGGAGCTATTTTGAACCTAATTTTACTGAACCTTTTATTTGCTATGTTTTCGGCTTGCATGGTATATGCAAAAATGGTCGGTTCATCGTCATGTGTATATTGTTTTTTTTGCCCTACCAACTATAATAGCAGCGTGTTGATTAAATTACCCAGTTGTTATATTACAAGATGGTTAATTGAAAACATGATATAGCTATTGGTTAATTTGGCGAAAATACAATACAGATGATGAACCGACTATTTGTTTGGCATAAGCCAAGCTAGCCTGCGTATAGCAACCATAGATATTTTATATACACTAGATAGTGCATGTAATTATTCTGCAATTCAAAAATTGAAGCCGTGATTGCAGGCTCAGGCTATTCCCATGAAATGAAACAGGAAACTTAAACATTAAGTTAAGCCTATTCCAAATACATTTTTAAACTATTCAAATTATGAAAGTTATTGTTGTTTTTTAAGCGTTTATTAGCGAGTGGGAAACTCCAATATGGCCGCCACCTATTCAAATGGGGGTAACCGCTGGAATATTATTGGCTTCAATTTTACTAAAAGAGATGCGCTATCTAGTGTATATAAGATATCTATGATAGCAAGCGGCTGCTACGCAGGCTAAAACCAAGAATTAAAAAATATGGATAATATAATAAAATCACGAGCAATAGGAGAGGTGCATGCATTGTTGTTAAACGGTTAGAAAGTTAGAAACAGTATATTACATACTCACTTATAAAATATTAAAAGGAATGATCAGTGCATAATTCCCTTTTTATTAGTATCAAACTGCGAAAAAGGCTATAAAAGTTACGATAAATCCTGCTTCAAATTTTTCAACACTAAGAAAACTTTCGACGATGCCAGGGAAGTCTGTCAAAAGGATGGTGGTGATTTAATGATCGTTGATAGTCAATTTAGACAAGGTAATTAATATATAAGAATACTTTTGAACCACATTGCTGCTCCCAAATAAAGGTTTGTTTTGTGCAGACTGCTTATTCCACTAAACTAGAAAATACATGCATGCAGAAACCCTCGCCTTACTGACAAAATATTATGTTTTTTGAATATGAAGAATTGAAAGTAGTTGTCATGGTAACACGATAATTTTAAGAATTGTTTTATTAAAATTGAAAAATCCCCCCAAAATATCACCGTTAATAACAAAATTATCAATTTCCCAAAGGAATCAATATTAAAGATACTCTGAAATTATATGCTGTCTTGTTTAGTTGTTTCATATACGCAAAGGCCGTCGGGTTTTAATTAAAGCAATTATAAAATCAATATTTAAAACAAACTTATACCTTCGTTAACTTCGGCTCCCTTCTTTTAGCCGATTCTTTCGCCCTTTCTTTCTTTCTTTCTTGAAATTTACACAATCTTTCAAAAATGCGAGCAAAAATGAAATATATTTGCAAGAAATTTATCAATCATCAAATCAAGAAATGTTTGCTATTTCGCTGTCGTCATGCAGTCGTTATAATGCAAACTTTAAATTGGACCAATCACAGTGTTCGCTATTCATGATCATGTCAGTCCGCCATATTTTTGAGATCAGTGAGGATGACCACCCACGCACAGTGAGCCACGCCCGCGATCATTGGTGAACTTTAGACTTCGCTAATGCTTTCGTTTCCCCGGGTGTAAATAGCCGGGGGGAATTAGTACCCTCGCACGGCGCTTCGCGCCGTCGGCTCGGGTATTATTTCTTTGATCACTCCAAATTTTACGGATTCTTGAATGACACCACTTTTTTTTAACCTCCTCCAATCTAGACTCAGAAAGTCACTTTATATACAAAGAACAAAAATATCATACATTAGTACCAAAGAACAAAGTGATTACTGCATGACTTTTTTTATCTCATGGATTATGACATGTTACGCGGGAAGAAGCAAGAATCAAATTTATATAGTCGGATGTTTGTAGTCTGCATGAATGCATACATGCATAGAACAAAATGGCTCGTTACCTTATATGTACGGCGAGCACGTTATCGTAGAGGAGCTGTAATTGCCCATGACAATTTACATGCAGATAAAATATGTTCCAATTCACGTTTCATACAAAAATATTTGCTATTCGGCTCATATTTAGAAAGACCTCAAAGTCGTCACTTCATGAGGCTCTGTCGACGCGTCGTATTATTTACTCCTTTCAGACCTTTTGAGTACTGCATGCACGTTTTGGTTTTTGCACAGACAATATAATGCTCTTGTGTATACCTTGTAATATATTCACGGTAAATTGAACTTGCATGTCTCATTTCACGTGGAAAAAAGTAATATTATTACGAATTACGATTCACCGGAACTACATTAATAACAATTCACAGGAAATTTCAAAAGGGCAATTCGCGCCTTACAAAAGACCTTTCACCATCTTCAATTGATCGTATAGTCAAAAATTACCATTATCGCCTTTAGAGCTAGCTAACTTGTGTTGTCTAGTAAGTATATCTGTTCTCACTTTGCTCAATATTAAAAGGCTTTGTTCTCACTTTCACTTTGCTCAATATTAAAACCAGTAGATGATTGGGTTTTTGTAATTGCATTTGGAATGGAATTTCTGTTTCTTCCCCAAGCGCCATATCTTAAATTTTTCTTAATATAGTTTTTCTGTTTGTGATTTGATCCAATACTTTTGTACTCTGATGTTAAAAAACCCCGAGAAGAATTCACAAAATTAGTAAAACTAAACAAAACTTTAAATGTTTACCACACATACATGACAGGCAGTGTATGAAGCGAAAAAATTGATGTTTTTCAATTTAATCGATGTTTGCTTTTGCATTTAATCGATGTTTGCTTTCGCACAAAAACCGGGAAACCGACGAACACCATTATTACATTATTATATATACACTTCGACTTCGTGTAACCAGATTTAAATCTTACTGATTCGGTTTGCATTAACAGTAAGATTAGAAACATACCCAATTTTGGTAGTCAGTGCATGATAACCAATTTGTAGTGATAAAGCTTTAAAGTATAGTGATAAATACTTTCAAGTACGTGTGCGGTGATAAACAGTAAAAATGTGCAGTGATAAAATTTGTTGTGATAAATTCGTAATTAATTAGTAGAACTCAGGCACGAAAACCTTGGAAATAAATTTACAGCCCATACCTGAATGTCCTATCGAGATTAAAGGTCCTCGGAATCTACCGATGGAATTAACCCCGGTTTATTCATTTTCAATTCTATATATTCAGGCTATATATGCGGTAAAATTGTCTTTGGGACTGGGGGTATCAGTAGTATACCGGATTGGCTGACCCCTATTCTTTATGGAATGTGCCGTGATAACATTTAATTTCAAAAATTTGGGAGGGATTGGAGAAGGCTTGAACATATCGAACATTTTTCGTTAACATATTTTTGTCTTCAACATGTTTTTGAACATATTTCTCTTCAACATATTTTTGTCTTCAACATGTTTTTGAACATATTTCTCTTCAACATATTTTTGTCTTCAACATATTTTTTCAAAAGAGGTTTTTTTTCAAAAAGATTTTTTGGTTTCGGACGGTTTTCATGTTCGTAAGAATCATCTCATCCCATAAATTTTCTAGAATTTTGATTTCGAACTTGGTATTTGCAACTTTGTTTTCCAATAATTTAAACGATTCACGCTGACAACGAACACTTAGCTATCGAGACAGTTATGCTTAATAATTTGGGAATATATCAGTACTGTTCTCTGCAATGTCAATCGTATATCATTGAATAATGCCTATTTTATCGTTTGTAATTTCTGCAGCCTATCTTATCTATGTGTTGGAAAGATATATTGGCAATGTATGGATTGGTTTTTATCACGAGCCATATTCCGTATTCAAGTTTGTCGATTACCGTTCTGCAGCACACACGTATTGGGGATCAGGACAACCAAGCCGTCAACTTAGTCAACGATCTTGTACTCAGGCAAATATAACTGGATTTAATTTTGGTGTTTGGGATGATGTAGACTGCGGCACGACCAATCAATTTGTTTGTGAAATTTACAAAGGTAGTTTTGACATATCTTTTGCTATTTCGTTCTGGCTTTAAACTTGGACAGGATCTATATTCCGAGGCAGGGATGAAATTATTTCAATACCTACTTTGACTTTGTTGGTGTAGAGTGCACTTTATTTTTACGGGAAGATTCAAACGAGTCAGTCATATAGAGATGGGTAATGCAAACAATTCTGGACTTAATTTGCTTCTGATCGATATGCAATTGATTTGTTTAATTCATTACCTTTTTACTTCACTCTTTATTATAATAACTCCTAAGGGCTGTGTATGCCCTGAGATACGATATCGGGGAAAATGATATACGAAAACAACGAATTTGCAATGATAAAGTAGGTACCCTAACGACGCCCGCATGCGATTTTAGCGGGAAGTGCGAAGCTAAAAGAAGTAAACAAAAGTAATCAGTATTTTTTGTAACTCGTCTTTTATAAAGTTCATATATATTGCGCTGGCTAATAGAGCACAGGTTCATTGTTATAATAAACACTGAGTAACTATAAATTACATACATTTTTATTTGTAAATATTATGGTAATATCATACTAGAAGTTCTAATCTCTTCCTATATTATAGTAAATATATTTTTGTAAATATACAATATTTTTCTAATCAACCAACCCTGTAATGATAGATGTATTTCAACCTTCATGGTTGCAAAGTCTATTTTTTTATTAATAAATTCAAAAAAAAAATTAACTAATCTTCCAATTAGCGAACTAAAGAAAGCGAAATGCCGTAATATGTATCCATCGCAGCCTAGCCTGTTGGACATTTGCCAACCTTCCCTATACAATCTTATTCTTTTTAATACTTACCCTAATATGTTTTGTTGTCTTTTCTAGGAGAACCAAAGGTTACCATTCCATGTAAGAAAAATATATTTCATACATAAAATCGCCCAAAATGTATTTGACACTCGAATTTCAAAGAATATCATTGAAGCTTTAAACATAACTCATCATTAAAAAGTTGATAACTTGAGCCTTAAATTGAATATGAAATATCATTTTTTATTAATTGACCCTTTCGGTTTGGAAAGACCGGATCAAACGAGCATGAGATGATGAGAGTGCATGAGAGTTGGCAGGCAAGCGACCTTGGTTAGCTGTTCTTATTATATGGCAAGCATCATTTCCAGTGAAATTGCGGACTGTGATTGGCTGAGAAGCACTGTCAGCATTATTTTCCCATAATGGACCGGCGGTCCATTACGTGGAAAGGAAGAATACATTGGTATTTTTTGTTTTCGTCGATCAAATGTGTACCACGCTACTAATATGCATTTCAAATCATGCATTTCTTGTTTGTTTCAAGTATAAATGCCTAAATGCCATATAGGGTCTTGGTCTTTACAGAGAAATGCCATATAGGGTCTTGTTCTTTACAGAGAAATATCGGACCTCCGTCTTTTTATACAAACCTCGCCCTACGGGCTCGGTCTGTACAAAAAAGACCTGGGTCCGATATTTCTCTGTAACGACCTCGCGCTCGGTTAATAAGAAGTTATTATTGCTTGTTGCTTTTACATTTTGAACTCAATGCTATACAGTTGTAAAATATTATATATATATATATATATATATATATATATATATATATATATATATATATATATATATATATATATATATATATATATGATTTTTAACACTCTTCTGGTGTGGTGCGCTATCCTTGTAAATGAACGCAGACTAGAGATTCAATTCAAGAAAGTTCGGAAGGTGCGAAATATTAATAACATTCCAAAGGTCGGGTCCCGACCATTGGAATGTAGGCCTGCGCAGAACGGTCTTTACATGGTCTTTAAGTTAAAACACACTCATGCATCAAACCTTTATTTTGTCAATTTGGAGCTTACAATACCCTAATAACAATGCTCATGTAAGTGCCAACTCTTATTCACTCTCATTCTCGTTTGACCTTGGCTTAATTTGAATAATTGAATTGCTTGGGTGAATGGTCTTGAACGATCTTTGTCAGTCTAGGTTGTCGCAATAATACGAAAGCTACTATACAGGGTGTATAAAAAAACTGGGCAAATATGAATTTGCTCTCAATTTCGCAAAATAGCCATTAGTATCCAATTTTTGATGTATATAGCTTCTTTGGATACTTATAATGTACAATAATGGAAAAATTTTCTCGACCTCAAATTTTGTGAACCAGGGAGGTGTGTCTTTTCCAACAAACTAAAAATGGCTTGTGCACGAAATTTAAAAGCTTTAATCATATTTTGAGTTAATAGATATACAATTTGTTGGGTTTTTAATTACTGTACAAAATTTCAGACAATTTGCTTTAGTTTAAGCTCTTGAACTTTTCATTTTTTCCGGCTAAAAAATCAGCCTTTCGCATGCTTAATTGTGCCTTTACCTAATTTGCATATTGCTGACATATGCAAATTAGGCAAAAGCATAATTAGCATGCAAATAGCTGATTTTCTAGGAAAAAATGTAAGTTTGTGTGAATAGTTAAAGGCTTAAACTAAAGCAAATTGTCTGAAATTTTGTACAGTAATTAACAACCTAACAAAGTTTCCATCTATTAACTCAAAATATGAGTTAAGCTTTTAAATTTCGTGCGCAAGCCATTTTTAATTTGTTGGAAAAGACACACCCCCTGGTTCAAAAATTTGAGTTCGAGAAATTTTTTTCATTATTCTATATTATAAGTAACCAAAGAAGCTATATACATAAAAAACTGGATACTAATAGGTGTTTTGCGAAATTGAGAGCAATTTTAAATCTGTTCTGTTTTTTTTTATACACCTTGTACTTCCTGACGTAGGGCCTTCGCTCGAAACGTCGAAGTCCTCGTTGTATTTTTCAGGTATAGTCGCATCCCCCTGTCAATCCGACGTTTTGGTGAATGGTGCATGCATGTATATACAATCAAAATAAGTGTAAAAAATTGAAAACGTGTCATCGGTCTCTTTGCGATTTGGCATCTTAATCAAAACATCATCTTTTTATTAGATCCTGCATTACGTCAATGCCATATTTTTCAACATTCAGCTATTTCGTCTTGTTTCGTTTTAGTAACATCATTTATTTAATCACGGGATATAGCTTCACATATTGCCATAATTTCTCATTTCTTTTTTGAGAGTGTCATGTTACCGTATTTGTATCATCACGCTTTACTCCAAAAAATCCATTAATTGCTTGTTAAATTAAGCATTAAATTATTGTTTAGATTATTTTTGCGGGTTATGCAGTATTCCCAAATTCAGTTTAGTTACCTTTCAATGACTACACCAATAGTGAATGGTTAAAGTAACTAATTTTTTTATTCTAGTAAACGGGAGCTGTCCTGTTGGTTGGAAATATTTTAATAAGCACTGTTACAAGCATTTCTCGATATCACGAACGTGGGCGGCGGCTCAGTTTGTTTGTGCTAGCACTGGTGCAAATTTACTCAGCATTCATGATGACAGAGAGCAAGATTTCTTGATCTATTATTATCAAGCCTCACATTCATCTAACATTTGGACAGGTTTGTTGAAAGTTTATAAAGGTCAAATATCTTTTCGTAATGTTTAACAACATGCATGAGCGGCCGCATGCATGTGTTGAATAAAGGAATACCGAAAGTCTCGTAACATCTCGCCTGCATGGCTGACGCTATCCTGTACGGAAAACCATTTGGTATTCCTTTAATATAAGACGTCGCAAAAAATGCAATAGCTGTGTTCCAAATTTTTACACAGCTAATAAAATTGGACCACAGCAATTGAATTTTCTTGGGGACACCTTGTATATCAGGTCACAACCTCATATCCAGGGACTTTTCTATTGGGGAGCAAAGACCCTGGTAGACGATGGTCACGTGATCTGCTAAAATCTAGCAGATTTTTAATTAGCAATCCAAGACCAGGTCAATAAACATTTGATATTTGGATTATTTTGATAGTTTAATTTATAATTTGCATTTTGTATGATTGTCGTGAAGAAAACCAAGATAGTTAATTAGAAATCTGCTAGATTTTAGCAGATCACGTGACCAGCATCTACCAGGGTCTTTGCTCCCCAAGAGGAAAGACCCTGGGTACGAGGTTGTTCCGGTCATTATGTATACTCATATATGACATTGTTCATGAAAAGTCATATTTCATGAATACTGAATCTTGAAATTTCAGTACTTATAAAACTTCCGTCTTTGTTTAATTTAAAAGTAATATACAACCTTTCCATATCGTTATTGGTTTTCGGTATAATCCGGCCAAATACACAATGTTTTTATTTTTACTGAAGCTCGATATTTTACGCTATATTTCCAATTGTTCTGACTATGTTGTGACATATTAAAAAAGCTTCTCTCATAGAAATGCAGTCATAGTAATTTTAACAGGATTATATCCTTGCTGTTTCTGGTAAAAAATAACTTTAAAACCAAGCACGATAGAAAATATTGTAAAAGGCATTCAAGTATTATTCTCAAAGATCTTTCAATTGAGACAAACTAATTTTTTATTCCCATCTGGCGGTGAGGTTAATTTACAACAGACGGGAAATTGTTTTGTATTGGTTGGGCCATGAACGTCGTGAAGAGTTTTGTCCGCCCCCTATAAAGATTTTTCCTCCCGTACGCGTACGTTTCTGTCTTACAGTTACATTTTTTCAATCTATAATCTTAGGTTTCACACTACATATGTTTTTATTGTTAAGGTTTGAACGATCGAGCTGTGGAAAGAGGATACACATGGATAGATAATAGTCCATTAGACTATATCAACTGGCATGATGGTGAGCCGAACGATTACACAGGCCATGAAAATTGTATCGAAATGCAAACAAGAAGTGGACAATGGAATGACTTGTCCTGCAGATATTACCGCCCATTCATGTGTAAAAAGAATATAGGTGAGAAAATATATATGTTGGTATTTTGCAGCCAAATACTCATTTATGAATTGTAATTATATTTCCAAACGGTTCGCAAAAATGCCAACCATAAACTATTGGAAAATAGAAAATAATGCATGCATCCGCACCTTGACCATTACATCGACCCATGTGGAGCGGGGATGACATTGTGACTTCACACATCGACCCAGGCTGTGCATTAGTTATAGGATAACCCCCAAACTAATATAGGCAAGTTTTGTGATTGCAGATGGGTAGGGATTCAACTACCTGGAAAATACGAGCGAAGGTCGTAAGTTAGCAGCTAGAAAGTTAGTAGCCTACTAACTTTTCAACGAAGGGCCGTCGCTCGAAACGTCGAAATTTTACTTCTATTTTTCACGTAGTTGAATCCCTACCCATCTACAGTTCTTTGGTGTTTTTGTCACTACCTACGCTGGCACAGACTGTTGAAGTTTTGTGATTGCTTTGGGGCCATTCACAAAGGATGTCCGAGCCGAGGGGGGGGGGGGGGTTTGGAAAATCAGGACAAACTCGGACATAGGGGGGAGGGGGCGTGTTTAGCAATCCGGATGTCCGAAATTTAAAAAAATTCAAAAACAAATTTCTTTTTCCCTCTATTTTGAGCAGTCCTTCCCATTGTGAAATTGGCATTTGACTATGCGGTTAACACTAGATTTTGTTTTAATTAGTAATTTATATGTTTTTGTGTTCACATTTACAGTTATAAAAAAGTTCTAAAAGTAAAAAGTTTTTTACTCTTGATATATACAAGGTTGCGTGAGTTTTTGCGAGGCATGGCGGATGTCCGGGGGGAGGGGGGTCACTAATTCGGACAATGCCGGACAAGGGGGGGGAGGGGGGTCTGAAAATCCATCATTTGGCCGGACATCCTTTGTGAATGGCCCCTTTGCAAAGCAAAGCTGGTCAGCGTTTGTGATTCGTTCATCAGAAATGTTTTATTTAGTTTTAATTTGTTGTGTTTCATATTGTCATGTTTATATGAATTATGAAACCGATCACAAAACCAATTATTATGCATGCCCCAACTACGCTGGTTAACAAGGATTTTAATCTTTTCAACTTCATTCTTCCTTTTTCCAGAATGCTCCGCAGATATTCCACTAGACTCTTCAATGGTTACAGTAACTGATACTTACAATGCAACCAGTATGGGTGCGGATAAAGCCATTTTAACTGATCTAAAAGACTACAGTTCTGCTTGGTGCACCAATAACACATCTGGAACATCAAAAATCATGGTGAGTGATTCAGATGTGTATTTTGTCACAACACTGATTTTGTCACAATTACGTAGTATGTCGCCTTGACTGTAGGCAAAACCTGCAACCATCGTGTGAAAATGGCAAACAATTATGGAAAAACTAGCAAACAGCAATAATGGCAAATATAGAGGACACGAGTAATAATAAGGCTAATTATACTAGCAATAGGAGACAATAACAAATCTAGCCGTGGCAGTTCTCCGGCATTTCTAGTCGTACTGATAGTTAGTGGCATTAGAATACACTATATAGTTGTCTATAGATTGCCAAAACAAAATGAAAAATAAATGGACTATCTATATCCCAATTCCCAAAGTACAGAAAAATGAGTGGGAAAAGGGCAAATGGATAAAAAGCAGCTACGAGGCACTCGTTGTAAGCTAATAGATCAAAGGCAAAAACGCACGCTGTAGCTGATATTTTGTCAGTAAGCATTCTAATTATAGTATCTCAAGCAATCCAAAGCGTCCTGCCTGATTATAACTACGTAATTGTTACCGGGAACAGGAAGTGATCAGAGATATAAATAGTGTTTATTTCTACTAAGCCCCCAGCGGTTCTCGATGGTCTAGCGGTACAGCGTCTAAGTCCTGAAATGTTTTGTTAAAAAATAGTTTATTTTAAACAGGTCAGGGTTAGTCTGGTTAGAGTAGGAGTTAGGTATCGGGTAAGGGTAAGGGTAAAGGTAAGGGTAAGGGTTAGGATTAATGTCACGCTATGCAAGCGAAAGGATGCCGTTTTGATTCCTCACAGGGAAAAAATGCCGCTCTGTATTTTAATCCTACGTAGCACGAGAATCTCCCCTCATCAGAGACCGCAGGAATGAATTTGCTGTTGACTTCACTTAAATCTACGTTTTGTTACATGAAAATATTTTCTGTTATCAACTATACTGTAGATTTTAAAAAGGGCAAGAACGATTTAAGTTTGTCGAAGCCCCGAATACGTTTCGTATGAATCAGGATGAAATAGGTTGGTGGTCCCCTTCTCCCACCTAAACACAAATCTTCCTTAAAGTTAAAGAAAATATTCTTTCCTGTTAAATTGTTCCAATCCAAAGTTATTACCAAACTAAACACGAAGTTCTTATCATTGCGGTATGCAAAGTATGCTAATTAGATGCTGAATAAATAATGACCACTTTTTATTTTAGGTTGATTTCAAAGAGTTAGTCCGTGTAACTGGAATCACAGTCATGGGACTACGTTCTCAGTTTGTTAAATCTTTCCGTATTGATTACGAACGTGATGAAAATTGGCGTATATTTTATCCAAACAGAAATTTCCAAAGTGTAAGTAAAAACATGATACTATGTAGTTATATTAGCGCACTAGCCCCAGCCCCAACCAACAGTTGCATCCAACCAGCTACTGCAGGTCGAGGTATTATTTCCCCGGGGAACATGGGGTGGAACATTGACAAAAGGAGCGCAGGCTCGCTAATTGATAACGTAAGGCGTGATGTCGCGATTAATTTCATGCTCACGTGCCACAAACTGAGCTTCCTGATTGGGCAATTTGAAGTTACCATATGTACCTACGCTATGATTTTGTCCAGCTCTCATGTAAACGGTTTCCAGCAAAAGGGTGAAGTCATCCTAGAAAAATCTAGACCTACCCCTTTCAACAAGCAGAACAGGATGTGAAGCGCTGGCAAATATGAGGCTTTATAAATGGTTAGTCAAGCTATTCGATACCTGAATGGCAAGTGAGGCAGGGGCACTATTAAAACGATTACTGGAAAATGGGAGTCCTTAGGCTGACCGCTCCCTATTTAGGGACAGCCAGCTCGGCAGTCTTAGCTCAAACGTTATGAGGTAGATTAGATACAGCCGAACTTGTACACACAAATCGTAACCCTTTAATGTGTTGATACTTGCAGGATATACAACTGTATTCGACATACACTTCAATTACCAAGACGTTCAAATATCCAATGGCAGCAGATGGACTATCTATTACTCCAATCACGTGGTCAGGAGACCTGATTTGTATGAAAATACGACTACAAGGATGTGCATATGGTGAGGAAAAAAAATAAAGTATATAGACCCTAATTAATATATAGGTCATTTCTATTAACATGGCCAGACTGGTCAGATTAATAAATGGAATACAACATTTCTGGGTTGAACTGGTTTGACTGGAAAATCAAATCGAAGCCCGTTATGGATTGGTTTACGGGAAATTTCGCGCAGACCTTCCTATCAATATACAGAATAACAAAGTAGGCTACAAAAGCTAAAAGGTCTTCGTTTCAAAAGTCTATGATTGACTCTAAAATTTCTGGGAATATAAAGTTTCCAATGGCAAACTGCTTTTTTTTTGCATCAATTGCATGTACATTTTCATTTGGAAAAGGTTTCCTTACTCAAATTTACATTGCTTTTCGTCCTTCGAACTCGTTCCAGTAGTCTATCTAAGCAAATTTGGGAAGCGTCCACTTTTCTTCTTATATTAATGAGCCGCTCGATATGTTTTCTCATGTTTCTTTTTCTTTTTTTACGTTCTTAGTGTGTCAAAGGCAGCTATTCGAGTCCGTTCCTGAATTAATAAACGACAATGTGATGACGGCATCGTCAGCGGAATATCCAACGCACGCACCAAAACAAACTGCAATACAAGGACATACCTGGTGTGCTGAGGTGTGCGCTTTTGAAATTTTTGTAATAGGCAATCAAATACCAGCTAAACATTTGAAACTTGAAATGGAAAAGTATTTTACAATAATAAGTTCACATCATATAAACATTAAAGACAATGTACATATATCAAAGTACTTGAGAAGGCTAGCAACCATTTAACTCTTGGACTTGGAATGCAAGCGTTATATGATCAAATATCTTTATTCCGGTTACAATTCTTGCGGTTGCAACACCTTTGTGCTTCAAGATATTTTTCGTTTATGTATTCGACCACACCGATGAGCGAAAATATGTTACTACTATATAGCAAGTTGATTCAATACATTGCAATTTTGGCTCAGTAGAATATACAACCCTATCGTAAAACATGTATGAAATTCTTGTTCTCTATAAAATGGATTATTAATAATTTATCTATTGACAGATTGCGAATGGGGTTCGTTGGTGTAACTTACTATACAACCAATTAGGCAATAACGAATACAACTATTAACAAATAGTGCCTCTTAATAAACACTCCTGCCAAAAGATAGGCCTACATATATGTTATTTACTGGCTGCGAGGTCCGTATACTGAAAAATATGTTTTTTAGTACCAGAGACCGACCTAAATGGTAAATAACGTGTTTGTTTTTTATTTCATGGTTCATCGTTATAATGAAATTCCGATAAAATTCCAGTTGCGAAGTACATTTGAGATCAGTTGCGTTTGTTGCTTTAGTCAAGAATGGCCATGGCTGACAAACTGTTAAAACGACGCGATAAAAGTTGGATAAAAAGGTTTTAGTTTGGGGTAGGTATTTTTCGAGTTAAGCCCTTCGAGTTAAGCCCTTTTCGAGTTAAGCCCTTGCCACGCCCTTTTTCACCGGGGGCTTAACTCGATGAACACAAGGTTGTTTTAGTACTTCGAGTTAAGCCCCGGACCTTAACTCGAACTCAATTAACGATTTAAGCATTCGAGTTAAGCCCCGACATTTGGCGGATGTAAACAAGTAACACGTGACTATATTCTCACAAAAATATTCGCAAATAAGGAGGGAGAATGTAAAATTTCAGCAAATTTTTTAGGAAATATCTCTTTTGCTTTGCCTACAGATTTATACATCAATGACAATGACATCGTGAAATAAGAAAACTCAATGCGATTTGTTATAAACAATAGCTCATTCAGGGCGGCAATGTACATTTGCATTATAGACTAAATTTTGGTCTAGACAAAAATTTCATCACAGCTTGGAAGAGCATCACAAAATTAGTAATATTCCAAAGTTTCGTTGCGAAATGTTGTAAAATGCGGATAATATAGCCCTGCGACGTTTGCCGTTTTTCAGTCATTTTGTATTACGCACGGGAAATTGACAACCCAATCGGGTGTTGGGGCATCTGTTTGTCTAAACCAAAATTTAGTCTATAATGCAAATGGTCCATTGCCGCCCTGAATGAGCTATTGTTTATAACAATCACATTGATTTTTCTTGTCATTGTCATTGATGAATAAATCTGTAGGCAAAGCAAAAGAGATATTTCCTAGAAAAATTGCTGAAATTTTACACTCTCCCTCCTTATTTGCGAATATTTTTTGTGAGAATACACGTGCCACTTGTTTATATCCGCCAAATGTCGGGGCTTAACTCGAATGCTTAAATCGTTAATTGAGTTCGAGTTAAGGTCCGGGGCTTAACTCGAAGTACTAAAACAACCTTGTGTTCATCGAGTTAAGCCCCTGGCGAAAAAGGGCGTGGCAGGGGTTTAACTCGAAAAGGGCTTAACTCGAAGGGCTTAACTCGAAAAATACCTACCCCTTTAGTTTCAATGCAATAGATTCTTTTCTACTCAACAGGACAACAGAAGATAAACTAAGTAAAATTCAGGGACGCCGGAACGATAAAAAGGCAAGGGGGGGGGGCAAACGCACACCAAAGGGCACCTCTATAGACCCTGGTGAAGATATAAACCTACAATTATGTGTTGACTTGCCAATGAAAGCAAACGCACTTAATCAGGTCACATTCAAGATCACATTATCAGGTAGTATTTTTATAACTCAAAGGGCACCCCTTGCCCCTCCTAGCAAAAGGCAAGAGGGGCAGTTGCCCCCCCCCCCCAGTTCCGGCGTCCCTGGTAAAATTATTTATTTTCCGGATCGTTTTACAGCATGGACATGATTGATCGGAGAAAAGTACATTTCGGGCTAGTCCGTTGAAGTAAATTCGTTGTATTATACTATCTTTAGTATCGATAGCGTGGATTTTTCGATTTTTTGGGTCGTGTTCCTCGGTTTGTCGCTACAAGCCTACAACAATAACTCTTTTGGACCACGGTCAAGATATCGTAGAAAGCTGTCCGCTCCTGCAGTCAATCAGATTGCAGGAAATCAAAAAATATCACCAGGCATGCAAAAAAAAAGAATAAATGTAATTATCTATTTAAAAATAAATTGTTCCTCTATGTAAATAATGGCTGGATAATTATAGTTTCTTTAAAATTGTTGGTCTTACATTCTTTATTTTATTTATGATAACTTAAAATGTTTTTGAACTCATTAGATGTTACTGCACTTATGTAAATGTATAACTGACTGTAACTAAATAATAATTTGACACAAAATCATAGATATATAACTAAAGTACAAATAAATGAAAATTAATTGACAATTTGTCTTTCTTGCTTTACTTTCAGAAAAACGACAAAAGCCCATGGATTCAATTTAAGTTTGATAAAGAAAGCGTCATTTCGGTTATTAGAACATTTGGTGATAGAAAAGAAAGTTATGTAATGACTTATTCCATGCAGTTTAGTGAAGATGGAGATACCTGGATTGACTATGTACAGCATGGAGTTAAACGTGTAAGTACAATTTGTCTGTCAAACAGAAGTAATTTTTTCTCCATTTAAGGCCCCATATCATGCAGTTACACGATACCGGATTTGCTTTTTATACGACATCAACATTATGTCGTTCAGGAGTAGTAATGTCTGCCCACAAAATGTTCTCCTTTTATCAGTTTTATTTTTTCATATTATCCCAATTCTAAGTGTTCCTGAAATAAATATTCCTGAAACGGTATTATTACTGAACCTTGGGATTTTCTTTGGTGATTATCGTAATGTAATTAGTTTCAAAGGACCAAACAGCAATGCCTTTCAACCTTTGAAAAAAAAAACATGATTGGAGGTGTGAACCTGTTTGTGTTTTCATGCTATTGTCACTGTCGTAGAGAAAGCCAAATTCAGCCAATCAACGTCCAATAAAATTGTGTAGTATGCCACTAAGTTTGTAGTCATTTTGTCACTAAATCGATTTCCGATTCCAGAACGTTTTCACCGAGCGTTCACTTCAAATTCATAAATAATTAATGACCTTGTATCCAATCAAATTATAAAGATTATGTAATATATAAAGCATGAGCGGCTGTGTTGTATCAGATATACAAACTCGAGCCGAAGGCGAGAGGTTGTATCAGAGTTGCAAAAAAGCTGCGGGCACTCTGGTACCACCCGCGAGGAAGGTTTAACATATGCGAGGTCAGTGAGGAAGGTTTAGTGGTCAAAGTCGCAAACACCAAAAAAGTAAAACAAATAAATCATGGTGGAATAGGCAGTTGAGGCTGACAGGTTGTGGTAGTACTATTGCCATATAGTACCTACACCAGATGACTATGACATTGGAGAATATTGAGAAGACAATAACTGAAAATATTCTGTAAAATTAAAATGTATAAGTGTCAAGCATCAGAGGACAGAGGTGCCTTAAACCATTGCACCACCAATAGCAGGAGGCTATTACTAAGAGCTATTCATCATAGTTACAATAAGAAAATCATATTGAACATTATTATATTATTCAGAGATTATTTGATTACATGATTCCAATATCATAGAGAATAATTACACTGACCTGAAAGGTCAAGTGTCTTAATCCCTAATTATCTGTTTTTTCCTGGGTTTTTTTCGTCGTCGAGAAATCGAGTTTGCGTTAGCGCATCGCAGGCTCAGTTTCCAGTGTTCCACCAGTGGTCGGCACTAGATCATAGACAAGATACGTACATATCTGAAACTACAATACATACAAGTCAGCGGTATTTCAAGTGCCCTAAACTTTATATAAACGCTTATAAACGCAATAAACACAAATGGAGATTTAAAGATTGCATTAAACAAGAAACTATTATATATTTATATAGATAAATAGGTATGTGCAAAGCGAAATATATATTTACTCTTATTACTTATTTGGGGTTAATTTAAAAATCATCATAAACATTATTATATATACCGTAGCCAACGTGTTTTTATTTTCCAAGGGAAAAATATAGCCCACATGTAGCATAGTATTTAATAATATTGATGACATATTCATAGGAAAACACATGGTGGTCAACTTTGCACGTTTGTCGCTTTATATGCCTTGTGGAAGCGAGCAAATTTTGTTAAATGTTCTGTATTTGCTATTGAATACAAGGTTGATTAATATAATGAATAATGAACTCAACCCAATAACTGTGTTTCCTAGTTTTGGAGTTGACCACCAAGTGCTAAAGTGCCACATGATTGAGATTGAAACCCAACTATGGTCGCATCACTGTTTAGTCTGTTAGTCACTCTTTTAAATATCTGCCTTGTGCAATTGGCCATTACTCATTAGCATTTGAATCTTATAGTCTGGCTTGGCTAATTGACTATTAGAGCAACATAAATAATAATTTTTTTACTAATAATTAGTAATAATTATAGCTAGCTAGAGCCGGGGGAACCCCCCCCCCCCAGAAAATATTGCCCCCCCCCGTACATCTAACTTTTGTATGCCTTGGTTAAGCTGTCCCTTCCCCTGGGTCCGCAAATTTAAAATTTCAAAGTCTGAGTGCATATTTTTGGAAATACAATATTTGAATTTTTCAAATATTGAAAAATATTTTAGTATTTATTCAATTTATTTTGAGGAAGGTTTGAAAACTAATTTAAATTTTACCCGGAAGAAATTTGAACAGATTGTGCAACTCTGGGTTGTATGTCTTTATACAACACTGACGCGAATGCTTCCTGATATAGCTTGTGAAACGTCTCGATGAGAACATTCGTATTCCTCAACAATTTGAAATAAATAATGAGAATTAACTTAAAGTTTATGTAAATCAGCATGATTCTGTATCAGATATACAAACTCCCTCACGCTCATGATTTCTTTGTGTTTTCTTCATGAATTATTAATGAGTTTCACAAGTTAGTACTAGATAAATCATGAGCAGCCGATTTGTATCAGATATACAAAAATTACCCATCTTACGAGTTTATTGGCGAAGTAATTTTAAAAATAAACATTGTCTATAAATCCGAGAAAATCAAAGCTGAAGTTTATGTAAATCAGGACAATTCTTTATCCGATTTACAAACATTGATTAAACATTCATTTCTTTTGTATTTTCCTCGTGAATTATTAATGCATTTTTAAGTAATCATATAAGTACTACAGGGTGTATCGAAAACCTGCAAACCTTTGAAATACAATGTTTTTTAGAATTTGCATAATTCAGAACTAATTGATCCCAAGCGTGCGTAAACACAATAGTTGACCCATTCGCAGTCGAACTGATAATTAGTTTTCTGCATCACAAATAACTTTGTGTTATTCTAATCTCTATCAACGCAGTTAATTAGAATGTATTTTCAAATCCCAGGAGCAAAACAAGTAGCACAGACATTGAAATGCTAGTAAGCAGCAGAATTATGCAAATTATAGTGTTTGCAGGTTTTTGATATACCCAGGGGCGTAGCCAAGGGGGGGCAAGGGGGGGCGGTTGCCCCCCCCCAATCGCAAAAAAACTATTCTCTGAAAAAGGCTAAATGAGGGGGGGGGGGTACACGTTACATCCTCGAAGCTGAAACGGATTGAGTACGTCTCGACTGAGGAAAACGACGAAATACTGGAAGAACTTGATTTCTAAAATCTCGTTAAAACAGTTGTAGATATGGTTCCAAAAGGAATAGATTTAGTTTAGATTTACGTGTATATGCATTATGATAACATGAATATTCTTCTCAGACTTATTCTGTATCATATATAAAAGCGAGTAGAAACTTAGAAATGTCTGGGAAAATTTATGTCTTCGACGTACTTTATAATCTTCGGGATTCTGCAAGATTTCACCCCCCAAATGCTTGAAATCACATTTCAGGGACTCTAAATTTTAAAATTTTCCCTGGGGTGCATGCCCCCGAACCCCCCTAGAGCGTACTTTATAATCTTCGGAATTCTGCAAGATTTCACCCCCAAAATGCTTGAAATCACATTTCAGGGACTCTAAATTTCAAAATTTTCACGGGGGTGCATGCCCCCGGACTTCCATAGATGGTCTCGCGCCTTCGGCGTTCGCTTCGCCCCCCCCCCCAAAAAAAAATGAAGGTCTGGCTACGCCACTGGATATACCCTGTAGTTAAAACATGAGCAGCCGATCTTTATTTGGTATACAAACCCGAGCCGAAGGCTAGAGACCATCTATGTATTTTAACGTACTTAAAAACTACCTATCTTATAAGTTCATTGGTGAAGTAGTTTTAAAAATAATCATCGTCTAAACGGAGAAAATCAAAGCTGAAGTTTATGTAAGTCAGGACAAATCTTTATCCGATTTACAAACATTGATTAAACATTCATTTCTTCTGAATTTTCTTCATGAAATTATTAATGAGTATTTTAAATAATGAAAATGCCGCGCATAACTCTTATAAGCACGAGCAGGGTACAAAGTTCCTAATTATTAACTAGATTGCATATAAACTGGTTTATTTCGAAAGTTGTTTTTCGGCTCGTGTATACAGCTATTTCTATCAAGGTTGTCCACAAGCAAAGCGAAAAAGTCGAATACGAGCGCGTAAGGCTGCTAGGAATCGCTTTGTTAACGATTCCCAGCAGCCTTTCGCGCCCGTATTCGACTTTTCCGCTTTGCTCGTGGACAACCTTAATTGAAATAGCTGTATACAATGCAACACGCGAACGCTCATATATAACGCTTTTTCCCGAAAAAACAGTTCTGTTTTCATTTGTTTGGCAATTTCTCATTGTAACAATAGAATGTCACTATTTATTATTTTAGATTTTTAAAGGCAATAACGACGCCAATAGTCCTGTGAGACACACTTTAGCCAATCAAATCGAAGCTTCTTACGTTCGAATAATCCCAATCGCTTGGAATAAGAATATTTGTATGCGAATTTCCTTACTTGGATGTTGGGCAGGTGAGAATTCAAATAGATGTCAATTACCATGCTTAACTTTTTAGCCCACGAACAACTTGTAACAAGTCTGTTGAGTCAAGCAACCTTGAAGCATGTTGCCAACAAGCCGTTGACAACAAGCCGTTGACAACTTGTCGACAAGCTAGGAACAAGCAATGCGAACACATATAATAAGTTAAGGTTACGTTGTGTTGTCCTTGCTTGTAGTTTACGAAATTAAATGATTGCGCAATTATTTCTTTCGGTAATTTATGTAATAGTTGATTGGTCGACCTAATCCCAAGCTCGCTCGCTCTCTCTCTCTCTCTCTCTCTCTCTTTCTATCAAGTGAGATGCCCAAAATCGCGAAAAATACAGAACAATGACCCAGTTGATACAATGACTCAACTTTCAGTTTAATTGTATAGAATAACAAAGCGCTATCGCCATTTCAACACAGTATAAACACAGTTAAGCAAGTAATATCGCAATTGCTGTAAAGATAAAATAGTCTAGGCTAAGTGTGTAATAGATAAGCGTTGGTAAATAGCTAGTACTTGATGTTGAGCGCATTTGATCATATTCACATGTGAATTTGCGCTATAGAAATGTTTATCGTATCCATAAATTACATGTTTCTACCTTAGATCACCCATGTTAAAGACATTACATAGGACTATCTGGACATCTGGTAGTTAAGCCGGTTTTCCACTAGGCGGAATTTTGCTCGCGGAGTGGAATTTTTCTTTGTCTTGTGATTTCTCGGGTGGAACTAATTAGAAAAGACAAAGGAAAATTCCGCTCCGCGCGCAAAATTCCGCCTGGTGGAAAGCGGGCTTTAGACTGCACACATCCGCCAGTAAAGTAAAATATTCATAAATAAATTATGCATGATGTCATGATCTGAACTAATTACACATTAAGTTCTTTTCATAGGGAGCCTATCAAATATACACTGTTATTATCAAAATAAATAGTTGCAAAACACACCTTTAAAACGTCTGTCATTGGTTACGTTCGAGAAGGTCGTCGAACTCTGGTTGGTCAGTTCTTTTTTCTATTTTTTTATTTAAAAATTCTTCTCAAATACTTTCGGTTCGGTTGGGTGAATTTATTCCCAGATTATTTCCCTTCCCCAGACCTCGCAAACGCCTTGCCCTGACTGTGTGATCAAACTGCTCCACACATTTCACGCAAAAAAACCCACGAAAAATTCAAAATTTTAATCTCAGCCAAGACGTCGTTTCGATAGGTTCGTACTGGCTCCAAATCTTTCTGACATGGCTATTCGATGATTATTTTACTTGTGTATTCATTACGTACACACATTATATAGACCCACTTTTATGCCATTGCATGTTGGTGACTCATAGTTTTTGAGTTATCGTGTCGGCAGACAAACACACCAACACATGTGGAGGTAAAAATTGAATATGTACTTTCTTCTTATAAATTTGATAGATTAAGTTGAAAACCCAATACAGACTATCCAAGATTGCTACACTGCCCGGCCCAGTTGGTTATCAGAACGGTAGTGAAATCTCAGCATTTACTTTCAAATTTAATAAACGCAAGATTTGTAAATTCTGATTGGCTAATGTCAACACGGAAAGCCGCTAGTAAACACGGAGATTCCGCCGCTCGTAAACACGGAAATTTTTCTTATCCTTCGGGGTTTTGACATTGCTATATTATAAAAAAATATAAATCATTTTTCCGTATTGATATATAGTTATATCAACACCGTTTGATATAATTATATCAACACGGAAAATGTTTTATATTTGTTAATTATTATATAGTAGAGAGTGAGATAGTGAAAAATACACAGTGAGATATTTTCCATATCTTCACTATAGTCTATATATACGCGCGTTGGCAATATGGATTTTATGTTTGTGATGGAAAGAGAAATTGAGATTCTGTTCTTGACACGAGATTTCTAAATATAAAGTCTATAGGAACAAACCTGTGTAAATTTCCTTTTTATTATATCCACACCGGATAAGAATAAACAATTATTGGATGAGGCTGAGCATGACATCAAGAATTATTCAGACCGAGATCAATGTTATCTGCCGAAGCGAAGCTGAAGCGGATAACATTAACCGAGGCCGATCTGAATAATTCTTGATGTCATGCGAAAGCCGATCCAATAATTGTTTTATTATACATTTAAAGACACCAGAAACGTATAAAACGAAGTCATTTTGTTTATTTTATTTTCGCGCGCTTTTGGGTTTGAGTTGTTGGCCGCGCCGGGGCTCGAACAACTGTAAAATTAAATAAAATTGCAATTATAACATTCATACATAAACACCACCAATATAAACCAATAGATCGTACGGGCACTTGCTGGCATGGCAAAGAGAAATACGCTTCCGACCTTGTATTAATTAAAAACATTCAATTTTTCAACACAGATATTGGTTGGCATAAACGAAGATGACAAATCGAAACCGATGGTTCATGATCTCACAAACTACTTTCGTAATACTAATGGCTTACGGACAAGAGCAATTCGAATTTATCCAAAAACGTTCACAGGGAAAACGATCTGCATGAGAGTGGAACTTTATGGGTGCATCGTAGGTTTGTACCGTATAATATTTATTAAGAAATAAACTAGAAATACATGCATGCATCAACCCCTCGCTTTTATTTTTCTAAACATTTTTTAACATGAAGTATTCTAGATTACGCCACGAATGAACGCAGGCTCGCATTATCCTTGCGTCATGTTAGCCATGGCAACACGAATGCACGATCATTGTCATGCACAACAGCCAATCAGCACTTCTTCAAGATTTAAAAAATATGACAATACGTTGCGTCGGAACCCGCGCGTCTGAGTGACATTAACGTACCACAGGTAGGTGACCCCGGCATAGTTTTGATAAAATTTTGTCAAAACTCCGAAATGAATTCGCTTTTTTAACATCCTTAGAATGAACTTTTGAAGTTGAAACTTTGAGAGAACGTATTAAAATTACCAGTGTTTGAAATAGTGTAGATTTTTTATTGTTTTTGCTTGTAATTTGCGAAATATTCATTCTTTAGTAAACGTTGTAATAAATTTCCGTTAAAAATCTTGCCATAAAAGTCATAATAATAAACAGAGTATAGACTCCTATTTGGTAACACTAATGCACGATCATTTCGGTTGTTTTTTCATTTTTATTTTTTGTGCAAAACGACAAAAAATATTAATGAAGTTTAACACTTTTAACTATCGAACTATCAGTTTCAGTGGTGGCGTAATTTAGAATACTTCATGTTAAAAAATATTCAGGAAAATAAAGGCGTGGGGTTTCTGCATGCATGTATTTCTATATAGCATTATATAATTATGCTGTTTCAATTGTTTGGCAGTTTTTTCCGATTTAGCCTGCTATTTAACTTAAACGACTTTTCTATATGCTTTCAACTGAAATCTTGGCAGTTCGATCATTCCCCTTATGGCAGTCCGCCATATTTTGAGATCAGTGAGATGACCAGCCTTCCTTTCTCGGGGTGTAAGGGACCGGTCATTATTTATGGAAGGGGGGAGGGGAATTTTTTCTTTCCTAAATTTTTAAAATTGAAAGCCAAGAATATGGAGCTGACAAGATATTAACGTCGACCAAAAATATATATTAGCAGAAAATTATAAATAAAAGAGGGGTATTTTCATATATAACTCTAAAATCAGGTTTCCATTTGATCTGGGCGATTGTAACCATGTTTAACAGCAGAGAATTAATCTCTCTCTCTC